GCCCTCGTTAAGCGAGGGGAGGGCGCAAAAATGGCTGCCGGCCATAGGGAAGCATCACTGAACGGTGAGTATTCGGCCCAATTGGAACACATTAAACCATGTTTAATGTGTTCCAGTGGCTTTTTCTGCCCCGTTCAATGATGCTTTCACACAGCCGAGGGTTAATCCGGAACGGATTAACCTCGCTGTGCGAGGCACCACTGTATATCATGGTTGAATTATATGCAGTTAGAAAGATGGACTAATGAATAGGTAAAGTTATATAATAAAGGTAGAGAATATGCAAAGTATGAATAATTTCTATTATCATATGAAGATATTCAGATCACCGTTTCGGTAAAGGGTGCAGTGAGTAAAATTTATAGATTCCTGCTTGATCTAGAAGAAGAAAAGACAGAAAGAAGGATTGAAGTTAGTGTGGGAACAAGACTTAGGAAAAAGAAAAAATTATGAAAATAGAGGAAGATGTGGAAACTGAGGGTTTTAAGATTTATGTCAGTGAGAATAAGAGAATTTTTTTCAAATGGTTTCAACAAAATTCTGATTGCTTTCTTATAAACCAAGATTGCTGTTGTTTAGTCATTAAGTCGTGTCCGACTCTTCGTGACCCCATGAACCAGAGCATGCCAGGCCCTCCTGTCTTCCACTGCCTCCCAGAATTGGGTCAAATTCATGTTGGTGGCTTCGATGACACTGTCCAGCCATCTCATCCTATAAACTAAGATAAGAACCACTAAAAAAGGGGCAACCCTGATGCCTATGCAAACTAAATACTGAGGCTAGCTACAGCACTAGGTAAAAGAGGGTCTGGGTAAAAGACAGATCCTCAGGAATTTCATATGATTTTACACTATCAAGTCATAGGCCCCCATCTATGCCAACAGATTATACCACAGAAATTATCAATCTTTTGGCGCATGGCTTTGTGATGGTGCAAAAACTTGGATTCAAGGCATGGATTCATATGATTTCATATGATTTTAGATGCAATCCTCTCTAAACCATTATAGGTAAAAACAAAATACAGTGGTGCCTCGCTTAACGAGCGCACCGTATAACGACAAATCGCATAGCGATCCGTTTTTTCGGATCGCTAATGCGATCGCTCAACGTTTTTCCAATAGGGGAAAATTCGCTTTGCGAAGACCGATAAGCGTTTCGCTTACCGATCTTCGCAAAACGACCCCCGACGATCAGCTGTTCGGCGGCCAAAATGGCCGCCGGAAGCCTGGAAATGGCCCAAAATGGCCGCGCGCAGTGTTTTCGCGCCCTCGTTAAGCGAGGCGAGAGCGCGAAAATGGCTGCCGGCCATCCTGAAGCATCACTGAACGGTGAGTATTTGGCCCATTTGGAACGCATTAAACCATGTTTAAAGCGTTCCAATGGAAATCCCTGCCCCGTTCAGTGATGCTTCAGCATAGCGAAGGTTAATCCGGAACAGATTAACCTCGCTATGCGAGGCACCACTGTAACTCTAAACCAATGTCATTTCATAGATCCTATCTGTGCCCAAAGAGGACAACTCAGCAATCATTCGAGGCAGGTATCAAGACTAGAAGGTATCAATCCCTTTAAAGGTTGCAGTAGGAGAAAAGGACATATTTTATGGAAATGTATGCTGCCAGCTTCCTGTGTGCAGGGACTGTTTCATCAGTCTTATGTATGAGGCGATATTCCACATAAGCAAAACAGAGAGAGAGAGAGAGAGAACGCACTGATGAACAACATCCCATGCAAGGGGAGCTTTGGATTTCAGCTGCAGCTGCTACTCTTTGCTTCTGATTTAAGAGAAAATCTGTTGTGTAAACAGCAATCGGACTCCATCACAACTCACAGTTGTGTGACTGATGTATATAGTACAATTTGAATGACCAAATCCTAGGAAATTATGGGAAAATAATTGGTGAAAAGTGCAAGTTGTGATTTATCAGAGCAGGTACAATTCTCTTCTCTGTGAACTGTATTGATGCCTCTGTTATGGATGAAACTTTTGCTTTTTTACAAAAGGAACAAAATACTGTACAAAGGAGGCTCTTTCTCTCTTTTTAGTTTGTTTTGTGTTCTTTCATGGATTCCCAAAAGAGCTTCACACACACACACACACACACACACACACACACACACACACACACACACACACACACACACACACAGAATGATTTATGCTAACAACAGACATGTACACAAAAGTTTCATGTACAGTGGTACCTCGATTACAAACATCTCCACTTGCGAACAATTCGAATTACGAATGGCTCCGTTCGCAAAAAGTTGCTTCGACTTGCGAATGGAGCCTCGACTTACGAACGAAAAACAGAAAAAAAATTCACTGCCCTTTTTTTCCCTAAGTTCATTTTAGGTCAAAAGAAGAAGAAACATCTCCCCGTAGTGGTAGAGTATGGATGAACCTGCTTTGCATTAGTTCCTATGGGAACTAATGCCTCTACCTACGAACAGTGCCTTGACATACGAACGAAAAACAGCAGGTATGGATTAAATGGTTTTCAATGCATTTCTATGGAAAAGTTTGCCTCGACTTATGAACTTTTTGGTGTACGAATGCCGTTCCAATATGGATTAAGTTTGTAAGTCGAAGTACCACTGTACTTTCATGGTTCCCTCTTTCATTTAACATTTCTTTCACCCTTTGCATGTCAGATCAGCCTGCTTTTCCCTCCCCATCCAACAGCATTGTGGGGGCTGCTTTAAGCAACCAATCAGAACATCCAGGAGAGGGGAAACAGGAATTTTGAAGCTATAAAATGGTCTTGATTGTTTGGAAAACAGTACGAGTGCTTTTCCTTTGTTTCACTATTTTATTTATTTATTTATTGGATTTTTACCCCGCCCCTCTTGACCATGTCTACTCGGGGCGGCTTACACTAGTTCCTTGTGGGTGCAGGAGCTCTCAGTGACCTCCATCTTGAGTTGTCAGGCTGATTGTACTTCTGCCTCTGTTGTGGATCCTTAGATTTTTTCCTTTTTTTGTGGTGTTTCCCCACCCCCAGATTCGTTGGATTATGTTGCCTGCTGCCACTAGACAATATGCATGTGCCAGCATGCCTTCTTGGGATTTTTTAATTATTATTATTTTCCCTCCCTTTTAATTGAAGTGGTGGTTCCTTTCATATTAAGCAAAAGTACTGGGGCACAAAAAAACAAAAATGAAGGAGACATCCCTTTCCTGAAAGATACCAAAAGGGAAGAAAACGAAGGTTTTTGCTGTGCACATCACTAGCCTCTATATACAAGTAGCAATATTAAGGAAACTTGAGAACTGCCCTTTTCAACTATCAAAAAAGAGGGTGAAATCCAGAATCATACAAACTAAGAGAATCTCCCCTTTTCTGGAGTGCTAACGGAAGCTGTACAATTGGTGACAGAGGCTGATTGAACAACAGTGAGATTCAGCTTCAGTACTGTTTTCTCTACCAGGCATAATAGGGACAGAATCTATATGCAAATCAATAGGTGCCTTTAATTTCATTACATATATCCCAAGATGCAGTATTATGTTATGTTATGTTATGTTATGTTATGTTATTTATTTATTTATTTATTTGATTTATATCCCGCCCATCTGGTATATTTATACCACTCTGAGCGGCTACTTTTGATGTTACTGTTAGGTGAGAAATTTTAAGCAACTTTGATTAATAAATGTATTCTCGAAGGCTTTCACAGCCAGGATCTGATCGTTGTTGTGGGTTTTTCAGCCAAAGAGCCCGAAAAACCCACAACAACCATTTGATTAATAAACTTAATATGGATCTGGATTTAACATACAGAATCACCTTGTCAACAGTAAGCATTCAAATTATTCAAATATTTCAGTTTCAATACAATTTTAATATCACAGAAAACAATTAACACTACAATAATATGTGACTCACAAGTCACAATACACATATATTGTGAGAAAAGTAAATCCAGTATATACAAATGCAAAACCCAATATCCTGTAGCTCTCAATTTTAAAAATAAATTTGGTACAATTCCCTCTTATATGATAAAGCAGCTCTGGTGTTTCAGTTACTGTCTGAAACAGGAAAGGACAGACATCCAGATGTTAAATATGTTTATAAATTACCCCGTTATGCAAATACTACACAAAAATAAATACATAAATATTGTATTTATTTCCCCCTCCTCTCTACCAGCCATAGTGATTTTTCCAAATTAGGATTCTTTGATCCGTTTTAAACATCTTCAAAACATCAGGAATGGAACATGGCCTTGTGTAACCTCATGGTGCTCCCCTTTTCTCATCGTCCATGTACAAGAGAAGAAAAATGCTATACCTTCCATTGTGGAGCAAATTGTCATGACGCATTGCATATAAAGTCAGGGAAGAGTGGTTTGTTCTAAGCCTCATTAGCTGAAACAAAGCACAGATCCCTCCAACTTCAAAGTGAAAGGGGAACTGCAGTTGTGTTTTAGAGCAAAATTTACCTTTTCTCCTCTCGTAATCGAGGGGATGGCAAGAACAAGGCGTAATGCAACTTACTCTAATGCAGCTCTAAACTTCCTGGCTCTGAATCAGGCCTTCATTTTCATTGCATTGGCCAGATCTTGAAAAATTTACTGTTTTGTACTATAGCTCCCCAGTTCCATGGCCAGACTCCATTCTAGCTGGGGATTCTGGGAGCTGTAGCATAACAATTGCCAAGCTTTCTAAGTTAGTTTACACATTATTTGTAACAAACTCCATTTGTATCTGTCTTTAGGTCAAGACAAAAAAGGTTTTACTGAGTCCCTTCAGCAAACATATGATATTACTCAGCAATAAGCAGCATCAACTATTAAGTGTATTACACTTTGTTATACTGTATAAAGCTTAATCTTTCCTATTAGAATATAAAGTAAAAACATTTTTTAAAACCCTATTTTTGCAGATCCTCATAATGAGTTTTTTAAAAATCATCTACAAAATGCAATGAACATATTATAAAAGACTTTCCAAACTACATAAAGTGATAAATGGAAGTTTGAGTGATCTATCTGCATGCCAGTTGGCCTGAACCACTTCCCAGCATGCAGAAGGTCCAGCTATTTCAGTAGAGTTTCAGTGTGTGTGGACTGAGCCCATCATAGCAACCCTGTAAGCTTATTTGCCATTGTATTGACCTGAGATATATTATTTGTGCATTAGTCTCCAGCAGCAGCTTAAATACGGATATGTTTGTACAGATTTTCTAGTGAATACTGTCAACATCATAAAAAAGAACAGGATCAGTTTTGTCTACAGGTGTATGTTTGTTGATACACAGCATCATAATTCTGATTTTTATATACAACCAAATTACAATACCTATATAAGTACAATCTATGATGTGAAAATATCTTGAAAATGCATATTTCTGCCAGTATGTTGTATGGCAAATATTCACTTGATCCTTGTGCATTTTATTATGAAAAATTCTGTTGATATTAACTTAAACTGTTACAAATGGCAATTTTTTACTACTGTTATTTCATTTACTAAATACTATGCCTTGTAAACAAATTATGTAAGTTACATCCATTTAACAGTGCAGTAACACTTTCTCTGATTATTTACAATATACACATATAATTTGTAAACAAACTTTTTCCATTACTGCATCTTTTTTTTTAAACACTGGAACATTTTTTCTTTTCTACCTATGAAATAGAATATATACAAAGACACAACCTATCCACTTTTCTGTATCAATGAATACATTTAGCCAGCTATAGTCTTTAGGGCAAACTAAGCTGTACCTGTGTAAATTTTGAAAACCCAGAATTAACATTGGAGGAAGTGAAAAGCCACGACTACTTTCAGTACCCTGTCCTTAGTGGAAGTATACGAGATAAGGCATCCACAGAATTCATTTATGCTTTCTGCATAAAGATTGATGGAAGTCGGGAGTTATTTTCATAATGCTTGGTAGAAGCACCATTACTTCCATTTATACTCACAGCACACAGTTCCTTCTTCTGCAATAAAATTTTAATCAAATCTTGCAAAGCAGGTGTTCATCATACTGGAAGGACAAGGATTTGTCTTTCTGAATTTGTATCCCAATAAGCCTCCAAAATGCTGCCTTTCATATTTCTTTACCACCTTCTGTTCTTCCAAGGAAGATGTTTGTCTTTCTTCTGCTCCTTTTATCCTCCACTGTTTCACATTCAACCACGTAGATCCTTACACAAATTTAAAGAGAACAGAATGTTTTGCTCGTTACAATAAATCAGGGATGAGAAACATGTATCCCAACAGATCAGTGGTTCCCAACCATGGGTCCCCAGATGTTCTTGGACTAAAACTCCCAGAAGCCTTAACCACTAGCTGTGCTGGCTAGGATTTCTGTGAGTTGTAGTCCACAAATGTCTGGGAACCACTCCTCTAAATGGTGTTGGACTGCAACTCACATGATCCTCAGCCAGAACAGCCAGTGGTTCAAGATGATGGAAGCTGAAATTCAACAATAACATGAGGGCCTGATCCCTGTGGTATATTGCTTAGTTATTGCATAATTATTATTTGTTTCTGTATGTCAGAAGAGGGATTCATTAAATCCAATATGAGATGTGAAATGTTCCTTGGGATTGCATGGTCTAGCCTTTCTCCTATCCTGGACGGATCATAAGAAGCATTCTCTGCAATGTCTAGATGTACACAAGCACAGCTTTTCCAAGCAGGACAATCACTGCCCACTCAGGATTCCTTCTCAGTTGTAGGAGCTCTCAGTGCAAGCAGCTGCCATACACCAAGTACTTTTCTCAAAAATACCCTTTCAGACAAAACCAAAGACCCAAAGACCGAGGCAGCAAAATCTAACATACCCGAGGCTAGAGCCAAGGAATTTTCTCTTTGAATAGGAGAATCCCCTGCTACATCATATCCCATATGTTTCAAAATTCTCAAAAATACCCTTTCAGACAAAACCAGTTTTTCTCTTTGAATAGGAGAATCCCATGCTACATATCCCATATGTTTCAAAAGCAGATCTCTCTCTCTCTCTCTCTCTCTCTCTTTGTGTGTGTGTGTGAAATAGAAAGAAAATACTGTTTCTTGGGAGATGGTCTGAATGCATGCCAATCTATTAAAGAATGCATAGCTATTAGTTAGAGCCGATGTCCAGGAAATGACTCTTCCATTATTTACTTGCTATTTTAATGTCAGCGCATACAGCCAGTTATACTGTTTCTTGGGAGATGGCCTGAATGCATGCCAATCTATTAAAGAGTGCATAGCTATTAGTTAGAGCCAATGTCCAGGAAATGACTCTTCCATTATTTACTTGCTATTTTAATGTCGTACTGTGAGCCAAATGCATTTCCATTGTGTCTATTAATATTCAGTATCCCCAAAACATGTGTAATATAAGCATTAAAGGTGGATCTTATGTCTTGATAAGGGATGCACAGGATAGTGTTAGCTCACTGTACGGGTTTTTTTAGTAGCGGCTCAGAGATGACCTGTTAAGCTTTTTGAACAGTTACAAGAAACCAAGAGAGGAGGTTATCCAAAGTTTCGGAGTAACTTGCAGATAGATTTTGGCAATAATTCACTGATCACTGTTTAAGTTTAATTTGTTGGGGTTTTTTTTAATGAGCTATAATTTCAGTTCACACTTAACACTTTAATCTATTTTAATGATTTCAGTGTATCATTGCAGGTTATTAATTATCCCCCCACTATCTAAGATGCCATGAAGTGGGCAGTTTTCCCTTCATTGTTACAGGTTTATTTGACATGCTCATTCCTCTGGTTTCTAATTGAAAGGTGTGTGCTATTCATTCCTATCTATTAACAGTCAGAAATGAAAAGGCAGTGTAGCCAATAAAAGTCAAGGAATTGGGTTTAAATCCTGTTTGGCTGTGATTTAATTTGGGCTGTTGCAGATATCAGAGCTGTAAGGATGTCCACGGCATGACTCTTACATGCCCAAGTACTTTACCACCACAACTACATGTACAATCTAATTGACTTGACATACAAATACATATTGAATCACAGCCTACAATACAATTAGTAGTAATTTGCTTACCATCAGTTGCCATCTTTCTTTCTCAGACCTCTTTGAGTCAGTTTTGATGATCCTCTAATTCTAGCTCTTTGGCTCTGGGGACAAGAATAAAAAAGGCTCAGCTATGACAACTGATCAGTCGTCCATGTTCACAATAATGTTATGGAAAAGACAGTATTAGGATTCCTGTCCTTTTCCGCCTCAATTATGTCTAGGCAATCAGATACAATTCAATGTACTACCAACTCCTCCATGATTAAAAATACATATAATATCTAATGAAGTCAGTGCTCCAAAAATCTGCATGGCACACATAAAAGAACAATTTCTGAGTGAAATAAGGACCGTTCTCTGTGTGATAGACACTCTATTGCAGTGCAGTGTTTGAGAATTGCTAGGTTCAAACCAAACTCCGCCAAGAAGCTCTGAAGTTATCCACAGAATGATGGCATTTTGATGAGTAGTTTCTCTTGTAGTTTGGGTGGATGAATGTAACGAAGCTCCCCCCAAAAAAGAATTCCACATTTCTTAATGAACTATAAATCCCACAGTTCCATAACAGTTACATTATAATAAAACACATATAATTATTTATTTATTTATTTATTTAACTTATATGCCGCCCACACTACCCAAAGGTCTCTGGGCGGCTTACAGCATTTAAAATACAATAAAAGAGCAAGATAAAAGGGCAAAATAATTAAAATGCAATTAAAATATATATACTAAAAATTGACATCAGACCCACATTTGATGTTATTTCAGTTAAAAGCCATTTGGAACAGGAAGGTTTTGACCTGGCGCCAAAATGTCATCAGCGTCGGCGCCAGACGAATCTCAGTCGGGAGGGCATTCCATAGTCTAGGGGCAGCTGCCGAAAAGGCCCTTTCTCTACAAGCCCTCCCTCTTATCTCCTTAATTGTGCACAGTGGATCAGTGGTTCCCCAACTTGAGACCCTAGTCTTTCTCAGATTACAGTTCTGGAAGCCCTGACCACTGCCTGTGCTGTGTACGGCATCTGAAAGTTGTGGTCCAAGAACATTTGGGGCTTCTGTCATTTGGGACTCTATACTCTGGGTTGTTAGGTGAATGTAACGTCACTATTAATGCTGCACTTTGGTGAAAGTTTGGAATATAAATGTAAAATAAAGGAATGAATGCAAATGTGTTGTCCACCATCAGCTCCTTGGCATATCTAAGCCCCACCAACTTATGACTGAAAGCACACATTTGTTATGAACACAATATTTATTATGATTTTGATGGTTATGTAAACAATTTTTAGCACACACCTTCAAAAACTGACATGTGAACCAATGCCCCAAACTACTGTATAAAGTGTCACTTTAAAAAGTTTTTTTTTTTTGCCTTGCCCCCTTTTGGAAGTGAACTGTAATATGTGACATTAATGGACAGTTGACAAGGAAAAAATTATTTTGGCACCCGAGTGTTCTGTGTACCAGAACTTACTAAAGAAAACAAATAAACAAAATAAATCTTTCCCACTTTGCTGGTCTGAAGATCTCCTAGTAATGAAACCTGTGCAAACGTGGGAGAGTCAATGCATTTTAGTGTGTTTTTTAATAATCTTTGAGAAGCAATAATCTCTCTCTCTCTCTCTCTCTCTCTCTCTGTAAAACAGTGCCTTGCTGCAAGAGCCTTCCATCCCCTTGGCTAACTCTTGTTAAGCAATGGCATTACTGATTGGATTGAATTATGGGTGGCCAGCTGATTTTCATTTGTTGTGTTATTTATATACATTTATATGCTACTTTGCCTACAAAGTAGAATGAGTAGAGTTTCTGGGTGGTCTCCCATCTAGGCAATTCAAGATGTTACAGCAAATATCAGAAAATCCCCTCTTCTAACACTACTCCCAGGCATAACTTGCAACACTATTCTGATTATCTTTGTAATTACTGTCATCTGCATTATTTTGAAGACCAAACACTTGAGCTACAGTCCTATGCATGCTTCCAAAGCAATGAAGCCACTTCTGAGAATGATACATTTGTACATTGCCTTGTCTTCTTTCCCCCTCATTGAAAAAATTACAGTGTTGAAAATTGTGTGCATATGTGTTTAAGGTGCTCATCTGGCACTTTCACCCTTTTTGTCTTCCAGAGAATTAAGAGTATTAATGATTCATTTGGATTCCACACAGGCAAACAGTTTTGACATTACTAACACTACCTTTGTGCCACGGAAAATGTATGTTTAAAACAGATTGTAGCTTTTCGATGCATTTAAAATAAATATTTCCTGCTGCAAATGACAATAACGTAAGAAGCAGAATACTCCACATTGGTACACTAATGGTGATATGCTATGCAAGGCATAATGCAACAATTTACTTCAATAATGGACATCTGCATGGAGCAGGAAGAAAATCCTCTGCCTGGAACTTGAGCGTATTCTCTCCATCTTTGAGATTTTCTCCACTAATGGCTAACTGTGAGTTCTTACTTACATGATCAACAGTTCCGATTCATAGCGCATTAATTTATTCTTTTCCAACACCAGGCCAAACCATTCATGTAGCAGCTGAGAGTCGTCTTGTGTGCTTGAATCTGTTTAAGAGATTTAAAAAATGTGTCTAGCAAGATTGTGTTTTCTTCCTCATGATCTGAAAAGTTACACCATGCAGAGACCCAAGCAAAAGCGTCTCTCTCTTAAAAAGTATTGAATGCCTTCCACCTTCACATTTGATTTGCTGGATATTTCTCTCAGTAGTCAAACACTACAACTAAAACTACTAGTTGAACTGTAGAAGACATATAAACAAGTTATATTCTATATCTCAGATACAGATGACATTAGGCTACCCGGCCCTGATCCTTTGTCTTGTAAATGTATTGTAATGTCTGGCATATGGTGTCAAAACAAAAGCTCCAGCCAACCCAATCCTGTCAATTCCAGCTGACAAGCAGGTGCCCAGAGCACCCTTGATTTTAAGGACCCCAGGCAGAGTACTTGCCTTGTAATGCTTCTTTGGATCTTTTACCATAAATACTGAAAATAAGCAGGGAAACCTTCTATCTGCTAACTATCACATGATCAAGGTGGTGGTGGGAACGCATGGCCTGCTAGGTGTCATTGGACTGCACTGTTCCTTGTTGTTGGCTATACAGTACTGACTAGGGCTTATGGGAACCACAGCACAACAACATCTGGAAACACCACCACCAGCAGCCCTGTCTTCAAGGCAAAAGGAAGTTAGAGGAGCTGGTGTGCACATCATCCTATATGGTGTGCTTTCCTTAGGAGCCCTCATGCCTGCTTGCCAGGGTTTGCAGGTCCAAGAGAGAGGTAGCAGCAATCACTTTGTGCCATTCAACTTTCACTTCTCACATTCCATACCTGCTTCCCACTAAGATAAATTGCAGGCTTACAAAGAAAAAGAAAAAGAAAAGAAAAGGAAGAGAAGGCAAATTAGCAAAACAGTTGAAAATGTCACAGTACTCAGAACCATTTAAACACCACAAAACAGGTTAAAAGACTGAGATACGTCTTTTCTATAAGCAGCAAGAGTGAGAGCAATCCATGTGTTCATACTACCACTAAGACTGCAATAAGGCTAATTTGCCAGGTGCTGCCTTGTCAAGCTGAGAACTTCGTTCCACCGCAGGGAAACAAGTAACTCCCACGTCACCTCCACCTTAGTCTCCGTAGTGGGCATGGTTTAACTCCTAGCATCCTCCTCGCTTCATGGGCCTGTATTCTGGGGGCAAGTGTCCACTGTGGACATTTCAATTAGAGTGTTCTATCTGTCAGCCCTGATTGAACAGTCCTGTTAGATCAAGACCATCCTTCCATCTATCATATCGGCACTGTTATTTCTGAAATGGTTTTTCACCAAAGACAACCTTTAAAGTGTGCTTTTCCACAATTTCCAGATGTGGCTGACAGGTAAACCCCAGGCAGAATATAAAGTCTTCCTCCTGTACTGATTCTCAACAGCAGCTAGTATGTCGATGTGCACTTCTCTCAACATGGAGATTAAATCAAGATGTGCCATGCATGCATTCTTAGTAGTTATCCAGTTGCCAGATCCCTACAGTGTTTTGCTAGACTCTTGAAAGTTGTGGTCATTGGTCACATGGACCAGATACCTATGTGGGTGTGGCTGCTGAATTGGTCAGGGCTTTCAGCCAAATGGTAAATCTGATCTTAACCAACCATTTTGGGACAAGCAGCTGAGTCACTCAGAATCGTTCCCACTCATAGTGGAGTTGGAAGAACATGCCATAAGTGGAAACGGAAATACTTTCTGTTTGGAAACCTGAATATGTGAGAGCAAGTGTATCATTGTGGTAAGAATGCTAGTCTTCAGGAGTCAAGGTTCTAGTCCCCACTGAGCCATGAAATTCACTGGGTGATCTTTCACTGACCTACGGTACCTCACAAGGGTCAATATGAGGATATAATTACAGTGGGGAAAGGAGAACCTCTATGTGAAGCCTCAAGCTTATTAGAAAAAAGTAGGATATCTTTATTTGATACAGAACATTGTACAATTTAAAATTAGGGACATATATGAAATATAGGTAAAATTAAAAACAAAATGTTAAGACAATGAGACTATTTTTGACTGGAAGCGGGCTTCAATAGCATTATCTAGGCCATTTGCTAGATCTTCTTTTGTACATGTGATGAGGCATAAATTGCATGCACATAAGTGCTGCATAGGTTAAATTTCTCCACAGTCACAGAAGATTTGTCATGTATCCAAGTAGCTCCGTTTTACTTAATTATTCTTTGATCTTTCAACTTTGCTTTAAAATCTATTAAGTAACTTACAAATGTCTGGTTAGAGTCTTTTTCTGGTGGGAGAAACTCTTCAGTATTTGTCCATTTATATAGACAGAAGCGGGATATAAACGTAACTGACAAATACAGTACATAACATTGTAGTTGATAAGGACGTATCAGTTTTGAAACACTACAGTAGTCTGAAAAGTGATGCAAAACATGACTTCAGAAACAGCAACAGTTTCCAGAAACAGTCAGAACAAAAGACCAGCTGATTTACAGATCTTCATCCTTTCTTCTGGAGAATTGTATTAAAATTGGTTCAAGTGGCTTATATTCTGTACCTTGCCCTGGTATCTTTAAATATAGGGCAGAATACAAATGCATTGAAAATAAGGGAATAAACAAATAATAAACCAAGCTGATTCTACGGCACTATTAAAATTGAACAGGGATGACATAAAATTCTTGCTAACACAAAAGGGCTGCCCAGCAAGCTAAGTTAACTGGCTCTGAATTTGAAAAAGAAAAGTGGGACACAATAATAACAAAATAAATGATGAACATGCCTACATACAGCTCACAGTCAACTCAGTCTTTTCTCCATCCATAGTCTATGTTATTCCAAGGACAAGATTATTCCAGATTCTTCTAATGTATATCTGCTTGTTTGCTCTCATGAAATCTTGAAGCCACGTTTCAGGCGTTGCCTTTGGAGCACTTTGTTCTGCCCCCACATACACTTTCTTCTTTTTCAGTCCAGTAGCTAATGAATAACTCCCACTAACAAAAGAGCTTTTCATCCCTCACTCACACAATTATTAGAGAGAAGTTGCATTAATGTCACCGAAGACTAGTGTTTGCAGGGTTCTCTCTAAATTTGGTTATTCAGAACCTTTGCAGCTCAATAATATTGCTTGACTGTGATGATTTTCTAATTACTGTAATAATACCTATTAAATCAGCTGAACTCCATAAGCAGAGCCCTGCTTAAAGACAGTTTAACCTAATAAGAGCCAGCCATTCGTTAAGTAACGAAGCACATTGTTTTTCAAAGACTGAGTGAATGAAATGGTAATGGCTGGAATAATACATTAACAACATAAATATTGTTATAAGCAAAATAAAAAAATAATAAGATTTCTAGGGGCATTTGCGGAGTCTATGAAAAATTCTACACGTAAGACATATAAACGAGGAGTAATCACTGCCCTTCTGGAACACCAGCCTCTTTATCTGTCTACCAATCAATAAACAAGGGGACTAGCCAACCTTAATAAAATGAATTAAATGACTAAGGACAGGGATAGGAAAAAGGAGCTTCATTTTTTAAAGGCACATCTAGTAGGTAAGACCATAACATCTTAGTGAATCTTAGCAAAACAAACACAGAACTTACTTCATGGACTTAAGTTCCCAGAATTTCTCAGCTGGAATCATAGTGAATAAAAGGAGCTTGTTCAATCTCTGTGCACTCATAAGTACCTTAGCACTGAAGGAGGGAACCCCTTCTGCTCAGACCCTTAAAGCCCCAATGGAACATCACAATTCTCATGGTTGATGTAGATATGATACCACAATGAGGAAGTGCATCCACCCTCCCCCCATACCGTCCCTTTGTATACCATGCATTCCCATTCTCTGCTCTCCCTTCCACACACTGGAGGTGTTTGACAATTATCTTTGCTTGGATGCCAAAACCTTCACATCTCAAGGGCCTTGAATCAGGCCCCTGTACTGACCAAGGATGTTCACACATTTTCTTACTTCATTGGGAAAAGGTACCTTGCATCTGTCAAAAACTAGAGTGCTTGCTTCATGACAGCAAAAAATACCAGTGCATTTTTTTTTGTCAGCAGTAGAATTAGCAGAGTCATAGTATTTCTCTCCCTCACCCCCCCAAAAAAAACCCTTTTTATTTTGTGCCACAAACCTTCTGGTATGTTTTTACTCAAAACAAAACAGAAAAAACCCACCTTCTTTCTAAATTTTCATCCAAAAAACTCCTAAACAAAAATTCAAAATGTAAAATATATATATATTACTCTTGTAGTTTCACCTAGTGATGACAAAACATCTAATATTTGACTTGGAACTATTTATTAAAAATTCAAAAGACAAAACCAAATAAACACTTACCATTTAGGAGTGATAACAGAGTGGCTTAATACCTGAAAAAAATCTGTCAAAGTCCCTCTAAAGTTTCTTAAAACACTTTCGAAAAGTAAATTTTGAAAGTTTATGGGTATTATTTGTAACATTTGTAGAATATAGCTGTTACTTGTTGAAACTAAATAGTAATTTTGTCACTACTGATTACATTATTGTTACCCAGAAAGTCACCCGTTACAAGTACCTTCATTCTAACTAGTTACTGCCAAGCTTTGGTCAGGGGTAGGTAACCTGACCAAAAGATTCAAGCACTAGTGGGCATTTAGATTGGCTGATGCAAACAAGAGAAGACAGCACAAACCTAGTTATGCCAAACTATTGTGTTGATATACAGAGCTCCTGCATACTTCTCATCTGAGCAAAAAATCATTTAAATAAAAAAAACCCTACAACAGGTGTAACTTGTTCTTCACTTTATACAATTAACAAAGGTTCACGAGCCTTGTTTTCTATTGCATCTCATTATCCTAGTAACAAAAACCAACTGAAATCTTGTATAGGGCTATTCAGGAGGAGGTTCCACTGAATTAATGGGGGCTTATTCCCCTGTTGACTCACTGCCTTGGCAGGGTTCCAAGGCGAAAGGGCTTAGAACTCACCTGATGAACGAAGATACTAATTTCTAAGTAGTGCCAACCTCTGAGTAATTATATTCTTGGGGAGCCTTGTAAAAGTGGGTTCAGTCAATATAGAAAGTCAGCCTGTTTTTTGGTACTTTATTTATTTATTTACAGTATTTTTTTTAGCTGCACCATTACCAGTGCCTTCTGGGCAGCTTTGTGGTTTGCTGTATACCCTACAGTGTCCATTTTGTGCATATGACCGCTTCTCAAATTCTCAAGTTTCCCCAAAAGCATGAAAAAAGACATGCCAATGAAGTTTTCTAACACCAGTTCTAACATCTTCAGGAAAGTAGCATATTCTGTGACTACTGGCAAATTTCCAGCTCTGTTTACCTGATTCTCCTCGTAGCTCCCTCTCTAGCTGAACACCATACACCTCCACAGCTTTCTGTTTTTCCTCCACTTCTTCCAGTAACCGCTGGATAATCTGGACAAAGAATAGATTGATTAAACTAAAAGATTCATCAAAGAAGCATGGGGAGCCTATGAACATGTGGAACTGTCTTGCTGGTCCCTCTATCCTGGTGTTGTCTCTTCTTATTGGCAGTGAGTCTCTAAAAGTCACAGGAAGGTGTTGATATGTATGCATCTCTCTTTCTCATCCAATCAAAAAAGACTTAAAAAGGAGATATTGAGAGCTGGACCTGGGACCTTGGGCATGCATAAGCCTGTGCTTAGTCCCTCCCCATTTCCCTTACATCCTCCTCATCACCTAATGAAAATACATTTAAATGCAAGCAACTTTACTTTTCTAAATGGCTCTGGCACATGTGAAGATGATGCTGAGAGGAAAAGAAACTGCAGAAAATTACTTAGTGATGTATAAATATGCCTACATTGTTGACAACTATCGAAGTCCATTTGAGAACAAATATTTACATTGGCCAGAATCTTAATGTGATTCTACACCAGCGTAATGCAAATGACATAATGCTTTGAGGTGAACTACCTTAGGTTAAGAAATCACTCTAGACATTACCAGTCATCTCAGGTCACTCAGGTCAGCACACAAAAGATAATGGCTACAGTGATTTCTTACCTTGAGGCAATTTGCCTCTAAAAGTTACACCAGGTGCATTGCACTTGCTGGCACAATGAACAGAATGAGTTGGTAGTTGTATGTCTACGGCAACATCTTATCCTCAAATTGCTCATCCACCACTACTGCATAAGAGAGAATGGGGTTGAATATAGAAAGGCATTTCCATTACAGTACTCAAAAGAAGTCATGTCTTGTACTGTCCTGCATGATACATGTTAAAAGAGGCTCCAAAAAGTCCTGACTAAGCTCGCAACAATGATATTTTGGTTCCTTCTGCCAATCTGGGGACACATCCTCTGTTTACCAATCATGTCACTAAATACATTTGGTTAGGTAATTTGTTTCTTGAAGAAGAGGTCTTGATAACCTGTGCTTTGTGAAGTCTTTTCCGTTCTTCTTGTTTAACTAGTTGCTTTGTTTCCTTTTCCAGCTTCCTCCTTCTTCTAAGAGATCTTTTTATCTAGAAAAACAGAACAAAACACAAAAGTTAATCAATATTTTGTACTTAGCTACAGCTTTTCATAGACTTTCCCTTTAATGTGGATGCTAAGTAGTTTTTCACTGTGTTGGCCGGGCACATTCCAAGTCATTTGTCCTCATCAATAGGGACCTCCTTGCAATCTTAGCTAGGCATTAACATTTTCTGTCGATAAAGCCAGGAGTAATGCTCCATCAGTGACAATGAATCTGCACATTTATAAACCTTAGCCAAATTATCCTGATGAGTAAAAAGTAAACATTTGGAGAGCATAGTGTTTCTGTTCAAAGCTTCCTTGACCTACTTATTACATCTGCAGATGTAACAAGGACGAGCTGATCCACTGTGAATGAACAGATACAGAGTGTTTTGAGGTGAATTGTAGTCAGACTGAAATTACCATGGGTCCTACTTTAAGGAGGGTACCTCCCTGTTTCAAGGACAATCAGAAGGCAAAGCAGTCTCCACTTGGAAAGGCCATTAGGTGTGAATGTAGAAATAATTACTATAATTTAAATAGAAATACAAGTAAACGTCAAGGCCGCTTATGATTTTTAAATCTTTAAACTGGAGCTTACTGGATGGCCCTTCCAAGTGGAGACTGCTTTGCCTTCTGATTGTCATTCAAGAGGAGGTAACCTCTTTACAGTAGGACACATGGCCACTGTAGTTTTGTCCCACTGAATTCCGTGGGGCTTACATTTGAGTAGACATGTTTACTACTGTGTAGCACTTTTATAGAGGTTGTCATATAAGCGCTACATTTAAAAGAATGAAGGGGCAGAATTTTATTCTGTAGTAAGAAGGCAAAAAGTTTTCCAAAATATCTTTTTCATTGTAAATGCAGCAGAAAATCTTCTCCAGGCTATAGTTTGAATGTCAAAAGAACTATCTAAGGTGCTGAAGTGATTGGCAGAACAGGGCTCAGCATGCTGCGAAGTTCAGACCAAAACACAGATCAAATTTACTGCCTCAGTAACCCTGGAGCCCCCAGCTTCTTACAACTTTACAAAAACAGCATTTTGTTTTGTCCTTTTCACAGAAACATTTGTCAGACTCAGCTCTGAGTTAGAGAAATAAGTAACCTTACTTTTTCCCCCATAGAAAACATTCCATAGAGGGTGAGTATCAAGAAACAATTATTTTTTAAAAAACAGTCAAGCTTCTGTAATGATATATTCACAGCTCATGAATGAAGATCAGCCAGTAATTCTGCCCCATCGCTTGAATTCTTCTTTGCAAACCTCAAAGGGTCATCAAGGATTGTTTTGAGGCAAGCTCCTCTCTCACTAAGGCTACCCTGTTCAAAGGTATTCATTTTGTTCATGTATTTTAGATTTAACACATGTGACATCCATGCCAACTACCTCCTACATCCTCAAAGCAAAATGTGAGTCATTGAAACAATGCAACAGTAAGTGGCTATCTGTATCTTTGGGAAGCTGTTTTTCCCATTTTACTGGCAGCATGACCATTACATTATTCTGCATGTTAGAAGTTTGTTCAACAGCAATCTTTTGACTGCAGTTTTATTCTGGTTGGCCCACAAACCTTCAATGTAATGCCAGCCACTCTGCCAATCAGATTAATCTGTTAATCTGTACAAATAGTGCAGATTAGCTATTTATACACTTTGCCTCAGAAGCCAAATAAATATTGCAGGGTTAGACCAAGATATTTCACTGCCTGGGGCACAGCAACAACTGCTGCCCTCAACTCAGCCAAGTAAGTGTGCGCAATATTACCCAAAGCCAGCCCAATTATTTCAGCAACCATAGCAGGAAATCTCATGAGCCCCAAGTATCTAATACATAATTTGCTGTCTCAACATTAAACCCAGAATCTTGGGCTTGTGGCTGCTTTTTCACACTGCCTATTGATAGAGCTGACCCCTAAAATCATAATTGATGCTAAAATATTATTAGGAAACATGTTCCATCATGGGAAATAGTCACTTTTAGCATAGTGCTCTGTCACAAGGAGGGTCACATTCACCTACAGTTTAATAAGAGTGTGGACATGGTACAAAATGGGGATACTGGATGAGTCCAGCCTCTGGCTTTCATTGTGTTGATGAGGTATTGCTTTCAACTGTGGCATAATGCCACCAAGATTCTTGTCCCCACTGAACCAAGGAACTCACCAGGTAACTTCAGCCTCACCTACCACACAGGGCTGTTGTGACATTAAAGGGGGAGAGGGGAAGATAGAAAAGATGTGTACACCAATTGATCTCACAGCAGGTAAAGCAGGCTATAAATGTAAGAAAACAATATAACAAATGTTTCTAACCCAATAGCTACAAAGCTGTTTAAAAGTGTGTTTTTAAATTTATTTGCAGGCAGAGATGTACAGTAATTGAGTAAAATCTTAATTGACTAAGGACAGGGCTTTGGTATATTTCGACTAACAAAATTGTGCCCAGTTTGCAAAACTGGATGATACAGCAGAAGAATGTTGAATAAATAAAGCAGAAAAGAGACATCATGTAGACTTGTTCATTCGCATAATTTGCATAGACTGTGGGACTGAATTTTCCATGGTTCAGAAGAGGCCTTATCTGAAGAAAGAATATGAAATTTCATGTACTTCTTGGAGCAGCATACAACCTACTGATACGTGGCCTCCATCTTCCAAATTATAGGCATATAAATTGTGAGAAGTTACTGGGATAAGACAGAACAATTTTGGGAAGGCTAAAATCTAATTTTTCTTGGTAAGTCTTTGGCTGGTGCACACCCTGTGAGGAAACCGAATAAGCTATGTCTACCTCAGTCTGTTATAGGTGGTGCTTTAGCTGCATGAGAAAGAAGATTTAGTTTGCTATGCTTCAGGCTGCTTCAAGGATAGACCAGGCAGAACCTAAGCACTGCATTCCATTCTTGATGGCTCATTAGCAGAAACTCTCATGAAAACTGAAGGGAGGGATTGGAAGAAGTTACATTTTGAGAGTGAAGTTGCTGGGCAAAGGACTTGAACCTGATTGGGTAATATCATATTGGGAGAACCTGGATTTGAAATCTAGCAATAAGTTAGGGGATGCTGGCTTTTGTCAAGCTTCCTATCTTTTCACCATTTGACCAAGCAGCAGCCTGGCTTCCCTGCCCCACCTCCCCTGTGTGCGGCCTCTGAGTGGGCCTCCTGCCAGAGGAGGTGGGCCTTTGAAGTGTCAAATACCTGTTCAGCTGATAAATGAACCTGCACAAACTGCAGGTTTGTATTCATGCCATGTATAATTCTAAAACTTCGTTCCCTGATGGTTGTATACCGAAAGGAAACTATGCCCCCCATGCAGAGCTTGGAAATAGATAATCACAGGCAATGAGTTACCCATAACTAGTTATCTGCCCTGCAGTGATGAAGGTATCAGTACTTTAGGAGGGAGAATTTCTTTTTGCCATGTTACTCTAATTCTTTAGCTAATGCTATAGTTACAGGGATGTAACTCCATTAAATGGTGCGAGTCAAATATCACATGACTTGTGCTGCCTTGTGGGTATTGTGCTGACCTCTGAGGGGTTTGGGGGGGAGGTTGTAATGATATATAAATTAAACTTACTGCTTTTGTAAGCAAGGGGGTGAGAGGTAGCTGTCTCCCACATATGTGCCATCTCCTCTGCCCTAGAAAAGGAAGGGCTACCCAGAGAATCAAGCCATCGGTCAAGAAAGCAGGGAGAAAGTCACCATAGAGGCAAGAAAACTGATCGTGCAGGCTTAAAGGAAACAGTGGGGAAAAGAGAGGAGAAAAGAGAGGGGGAATATTCGCTCCATAAGACGCACCTTTCCATAAGACGCACCAATTTTTTAGGAGAAGAAAACAGGAAAATATAATCTGTTTTCTTCACTCCATAAGACGCACAGACTTTCCACCCCCCTGTTTTGTGGGGGAAAAGTGCGTCTTATGGTGCGAAAAATACGGTATATAAAGCAGAGAGAATAGGAAGGGGAACAGAAGAGCCAAGGTGGACTGCGAGTGAGAAGATGAAAAAGTTCTACCTGAGGTTTGAGAATGGACTGAGTTAGGGAATCCATGGACAGAAGAATGGGAGAAGTTAATGGTGCCTAGATAAGAAGCAAGAAAGAGACTCCAAAGTGGTTGTATCAGAGGAGTAACAAGGGGAAGGCATGCCCATGAACCCTCATGACTTTTGAGAACAGAAAAAGAATTTAAAATGTGTAACAATAATGATAAGTACTTATTTTGCAAAAGTGCTTCGGACTTTAGGTACAAGAAGCCACTTTCAGGAAAAAATAATAGAAGTTCTGCCTGCAGCATATGAAACTTAACGTTGATTAGAAAGAAATAGAACTCCATCATACAGCAGAAGATAGCATTGGGCTGAAACTCAGTAAACTCCTCCTTAGGAGCAAGGCTTGTCGATTGATTTCACTAATTTGAATGAGACATTTCCTAGGAAATTGGGGATAGGATTGCAGCTGTAAAGGTAATCTCATAATCATGATCGCTCAGAGGAAATTCCCACGTGTTTCAACAGGATTTCCTTCAAAAAAGAATCATGGACCTAAACTCTGAAATATTGCAGTTGAGTTTATTTGCTTTGAGTATAGTTAGAAATCAGATTTCCAACATGTTCATCCAAAACTCCAGCAGGTCAACTGAACACATGTTATTTTGCCAACAGCTACTAAATCAACTGTGCAACATTCATACCATTCTGACTTTTTTATTACAGTAATTCAAGAAAGCCATACAAGTACATTACCAGTGTGCATACGTGAGGGAATTTCTATGCTCTTAGCATAGCATTTTTTCTTACTTTGTAGTCGGTTAACCCCATTTTTGCACTTCATAGTGCATTCTCCCCTTCTTCCATATCATTCCTCACTCTTTTCACTGTGAGATTCTACCCCATCTGTATGCATGCAAACAAATTTTGCTATTGTCTCATTCATGCTTAAGGCAGGCTGTTACCTCCAGCCCCCACATATCTCATATCCAGAGCAAGATACAGCATGTATTTTAGTGCTTTCTGAACTGACACAAAATGTTTCTAGCACATGTATGCTTAGCATCTTTGAGATGCTAAGCATACGTACGCCACAAGCACAACAGACAGATTGCTTATAAGGATGCAAACAAACCATCCCATGCTTTTGCTTTTTAACTGTCCTGTTTTAAAGGACCATGGACCTCACAACTACAAGATATGTATTAATACAGATGACAAGTATGAGAACTCCATGTTTCTGAGGAAGTGCATTTTGATCCAACAAAGCTTACAGTGGAACAAACTAGTCTTTACGATGCCACAATATTGTGTCCTTCTTTTTTTTTTAATTTTGCCAAGAAGCAGATGTGGTTGATCAATCATAGTTGCAAGTCTTGGCTTACCTTCTAATGACCAGTCACAAACACACACATAGAAAGAGCATAAGTTAATTTGTAAACCTCTCAAGGTGTGAAAAGCTCCTCCTGTGACAATCCCATCTCTTTCAGCACTTGAGGAATTCCCTCTACAAAGGATGGGTTATTTGTAATACATAGTTTTAACTAGAGATGGGGGTATTTGTATACGAATATGAATATCCCCCCACAGGTGCAGATAATGAGGGTCAGGCCACCTGGGGCCAGACCAACCACTCACAATTTTGCCACTGCTGTGAGCTCCACGGAGCCTTCCTATCGCTCCATTGCTCGTGATGGATTAGCCACTCTGCAGCCTGACAGGGAGGCTCATCATCCTGTCTTCTGCCAGGACTGCCTAATCTATCGTGAGCAACAGAGCTATAGGAAGGTTCCATGGAACTTACAGCAGCGGGAAAATCGTGAGTGGTCGGTTTGGCCCCAGGGGGCTGGATCCTTGTTTTCTGCACCTGTGGGGGGAATATTCATATTCCATGTACAAATACACCCACCTCTAATTTTAACTGAAATGGGGTTCTAGAAAAAATACCTGGCTAGTTATGCCTGCTCAGCAGAAAATCAGGACGATAATAATACAGTATTTTCTAATCTGGAATCTTCCAGATCTGATGGACTACAACTCTCATCATCCCTATCACCATGGCTTCCAAAACTGAATGACAGCAGCTCACGAAAAACTACTATAATACATTTTCGTAATCAACATTCATTAGTATCTTTCAAGGGGAAAACAATATGTTGATTTTAAGGCAATATTTAGATACTTTAAATAGAGTGGCAATCAGAAGAGTTGCAGAGGATAATGTTGAAAAGGTTACCGTGGGTGAAAGTAAAGGGTTGTATTCTAATTCATCATCAGAAGATGAAGAACAATAGTCAGTTCCTTGTTTTCCGACAGGCAGATGTTCAGAACCTAAGGAAGAAAGAAAAGGCTTAATGGTGTGGCTGTTATTCTCTTCCAGGATTTTGAATGGATGGTCACCATAGCCACATACTCAGCACCTGCCCATAGCTTTGCAAAGCTATATCTAACAGCGGTTTGAAAACATGGCTGATTATATTAATTAGGCTCTTGGCTGCTGTTCAAGGCCTTCACTCCTCGGCAATGTTGTGGCTGCCCCTGGCCCCTCAAGCATATCAAGTTTTATGTCTAAATCTGTTCATTCCAATTTCTATTTCATGATGGCTCAGCCCGCATTCAGTAATCAGATCCGTTATTAAAATGCATATCTAAAGTTAGCCATGTTATCTAAATGATTGTCTAAGAGTCACCATGTGGTGTAATTGAATGCATGGAGTCTGAGCCAGCTCTTAAACAAATTACCCTTATGTGGCTTGTAGCATCTGGCACCCATTTTTACTCAGTGACATCTGCTTAGTGTAAAATAGCTGGCGTCAGAATGTCTGGTCATATATATAAAAAAAGTCACAAATATAATCAAAAGCAAATGGACTTCGTGAAGAAGGTTTTATCGTATAGTCTCATGCAACATAAATATTTCATTAATTAGGCCTAAACGGATGCCACTTATATTTTCCTTCTTCTAAGATTATCACACTGTTGAACCATAAATGCTGTGTAGAAAAACATACGCACAGCAATAATGGATTCTTAAACAAAAACCTACGCAACAGATATTTAAGAAAGACCTCTGGGATAAATCAGTCTTCAAAGAGTCACATCTATTTCATCCGCGCACCTTAAATCTATTGTTGCTGTATTTGGAGCAATGCTTGAACAGGTGTGAAACCTCTCCTCTGGACAACTCATTTGTCTCATTCATTTCCTTCTCTTCTCTTTAGAAAACAGAACAGGGACCAAGACCAGCTGCTAGTACATTTCACTTGCTGTGGGATTAATTATTAACACCTGGATTAGACTCTGTTCTAATAAGCAACTGGCAAGAGCTGTGTACGATGACTGAGAACTTTTGCTTAATATAAACTCCAGACAACTCTTTATTTGCTACATACTGTAAATGTATACTGCATGTATATATTTATTAGAGAACTATGGAAGAATCCATGTGTCACTCTAGAAGGCCAAAACATCTAGGCCTCAAGGTAACACTTGTGCAAGCAATAGGATCTTTTGCTCCTCCTTCCCTCACTCCAGCACCTGAGCAGGGGAACAATTCACCCTCCCTCATTGCTTTCGCCATGTCAAGAGTTAGATAGGGATGCCGTTTTTATTTTATTTTCTGGACTACAGATGCCACAGTCCTCATCCTGGGAGTTCTAGCTACCTGACAGGAACCTTACAATCCCCTCAGTGTTATGCACTTGGGAGAAATGCTGAAGTCGGAAAGCTCTGAGGCTTGGCTGGGCATCCAGCTCTGCCCAGGTGTCCTGTGCCCGCCCTGCTGCTAACTGGGAATTGTTTTTCCAAGCAGGAGGCTTGAGCAGAGCTAGGCCTAGGTCAGCCTCAGGGCCTTTCTCCCAAGTGCATCCCATTGAGGTGTTCGTAAGGCACCTGTGAGGTAACAAGAACTCCCAGAGGATTATGGTATTTGTAGTTAAGGAAATCCAAAAGTCCCATCCCTAATGTTGGAGAAGGAAGAGTTCTTGCTCATATGTAGGGTCTCTAGGCAGGCAAGAGCTATAAACATGGGGGCTTTTTCTCGCTTGTGTGGAATGCCAACATGAAGACAGGCACTTCTCTGTAGATGCCCCACTCTTCAGGCAGGGAAAGCAACAGTGGAGAGGGGAAAAGACCATAGAATCATAGGAAAGTGGAGTTGGAAGGGGCCTACATGCTGTAAGCAGCCCAGAGACCTTTGGGTAGTGTGGGCGGCATATAAGTTAAATAAATAAATATAACGCTATAAAGTCCAACTCCCTGCTCGATGCGGGAATACAAATCAACGGCTATCTGCCAGGTGGTTGTCTAAGTTTCTCTTGAATGCATTCACCACCTCTTGAGGTAATTGGTCCTACTGTCTTACTGCTCTAACAGGAAGTTTTTTCCTGATATTCAATCAAAATCTGGTTTCCTGTAACTTGAGCCCATTGTTGCGTATCTTACACTCTGGGATGATCGGGAACAGATCATGCCCCTCCTCTATATGACAGCTGCATTCTGTACTGAATAGAATTTAAAAAACTAGCCCTACAAATTAGGCCAGTAGGTGCAGAGAGAAAAAGTGATCTAAAGAATCCCAATTAATAGTCTCAACTAGAGCAGACTCATTAAACCAGACATTTATATATATTGCATTGGCCCAAATCTACTTGCCTAGCTATGCTGGCATAACATAAGCAGCATAAGCTTGGAGGTGAATTGCCTTAAGTTCAGAAATAACTATAGACTTTATCCATTGTATACTGAGTTCTATGTCTCTGTTTGCAACCTGGCAGAGTCTACAGTGTTTCCTTGTGGAGCAAACGTCTGTTAGAAATCAGACAGGCCTCCTCCCTAAAAACATTTAGAAGATTAATTAAGACTGAACAGTTTAGGGAGGCCTTTGGCAACATCCTATCTTATTTTATCTCAGAACTTGTATTCTCTTATTATCTTATTCGATTATATTCTCTTATATATTTATTATATTTGGTTTATATTATTTTATGCTGTGCTATTTCTGCTATGTTATGTCTATCCAATTTTATTAGAGCCTATTTATTTCATGTGTCATCAGGTGGCCACCCGCTCACTTTTTGGGGGGGGGAAATCAATGTTTTTGATTTATTTAGAGATGGTGATGGTATTTTGCTTTCATTATTTTTTGGTTTATATATGTGATATAAACCACCTCAAGTAGTGACCTCACTAAGTCAGGTGGTATATAAATGTAAATTAAATTGAATTGAATTGATTTGGGGGAGTTTGCCTCCAACAGTTATACCATTTGTGTAGCTATGCAAGAGGATTTCAACCATTCAGTCATTTGAGACTATCAGGTTCAGCTCCTGACTTACACAGAACACAACTCAGAGCATCACAGCTTGGAAGTAAATGCTTACAACTATATACTATTTTTCGCTCCATAAGACGCACCTTTCCATAAGACGCACCAATTTTTTAGGAGAAGAAAACAGGAAAATATAATCTGTTTTCTTCGCTCCATAAGACGCACAGACTTTCCACCCCTCTGTTTTGTGGGAAAAAAGTGCGTCTTATGGTGCGAAAAATGCGGTAATTACTTGTGCTTGATTCATCTCAAGTAACTAGTTATTTGTAACCAGCTACTTTGATTAGTTCATTAGTTAATTAAAAAACAAAAACATAAGCATATTATATTAATAATATGCAATGTAACCAACTTTTAACATTTATAGTTTGTGGGTTGTGGCCTCACTATATGGAAAAGGAGGGTCATCATATAGTTCATGTTATGCCTTTTCCTTCTGAATTTATTTATTTCATTTACAACCCACCTTTCTCCCAAAATTGGGACCTTGGCTTACAGGACAATTTAAAACATTGGAAGATTTAAATATTGTAAAATCACAAACAATAAAGTAGAATTAAATTAAATTAAGTGGTTTAAATATATTTTAATATCAGATTAAAAGAGTAGAAATGAATTAACATAAAACAGTAAATGTCAGACATTGAACAATGGAAAAACACTATCTAAAATCCTGTTGTGCAGCTGTGTGTGCACAATGGAGATGAAGTAATCAGCAGTGCCACATTACTACTGACTGAAGGCTTCCTTTGGCAATTTTGGGGTAAAGTCAACTTTGTCACGTTTTGTATTGACCACATGCATATCTAAACCACTTTTAATTGGTTGTGATTTCCTGATTGCAGTATAATCAGTGGTGGTTTGCTGCTGTTGATGACATTATTTCTGTTGCACACACAGAGCTGCTCAACAGGATTTCAGCCACTGTTTCTTTTTTAAAGATAATGCTTCCATGCTGTTTGAATGCTAGAAAATAATAAAGTCTCCTTCCATATGTGGAGAGTGACTGAAATGACCACGGAGAGAGAGGAAGCGTGGGGATTTCTGTTTTGGCTCATTTTCAGTACACCTGAACAAGCACTACAGTAATGACCTGGACAGATATCAAGCTGCATTGTTTTCTCTTTCTTGTGAGAGAAGGTCTACTCTGCAATTCCATTTGCCCACAATACCGTATAGGGAAATAAACCAAAAAGCACTAACCATTTTCAGTTTGGAGCATTGAGCAATCAATGCAGCCTGCCTGCCAGACTCCAGTAGCCTCAGAATCCCTGGGTTACGTGGAGGAACTCTTAATATGACCATCACTCTGACACATTAACTCTGCAGTCATTGCCAGGGTTCTCATGCCAAAAAAGCAGAAATGGGGCAAGTTTCTTTCTTTCTTTCTTTCTTTCTTTCTTTCTTTCTTTCTTTTTTGAACTGCGCTTGCTGTGGGCTCTGGACAATGGTAGAAGAGAAAAAGAAAACTTTTCCCATTTCAGCTTAAATGTTAACCTCAGAAAAATCACATCAACCAACGAATCATGACTTTTAGATCAGCGGGAATTCTTTTTACATTTCTCCCACACAAACAACTCACTCTCCCCTTCCAACTCAGTGACCTGATCAGATCAATCATTGTGGTTGCCAGATCCATGAAGTCCACGGAGAACCTGAGATGTACAGGTAGAACATCAAACTGTCGCTTATTTGATGTCTTTTATTGTACTTCTTCTACAAAAGAGATAGAGAAGTCCTTGAGGAGTTTAGGTGTTTGTTGCTATTGTTTGAGATTTTTGCCTCCTGCATCTAAATAATTGAGCCAGCTGCTTAACTTAATTCATTTGCTACTCTGCCTCAGGCAACCAAATGCTTTAGTCTAGCCATAATGAATTTTTAAAAAAGAAATGAACTACAATCCTCATGATAGTTAAATGTAGTTTTGAAACACAGCCATGGTCCTTTTCCTGTCATGCAGCAGCTATCTGCAGACCCTTCTTCTTTAAGTGGTCTCAGCCCTTGTAAAAGTTTTAAAGTTATACACACCAGGAAACTGGAAGTGCGCAGAAAGGCACCTGGAGCCAGTTGATGGTCTGGTTATATATATATTCCTAATGGCCAGTTTCAGTAAGCAATCTAATGGTGTTACAGCCCAGCTGTGTTCCCAGCTAATTGCAATTTCTGAACCATGGTCAAAAATAATCTCAAGTACAATAATCTCAGTCTAATGTGAAGGTTACTAGACATGTCTAATGGCTGTCAAGCTATCCCTGTCTAGGGAAGGTTCCAGGGGTGGAACTGTGGGCTTCTTCCTCAGTGTGGCATTTTCCTTTGATCTAAACTTTGACCCAATCTGGTTGTAGACATTACCTCACACATTCTTGTTTTCCAAACATGCAGTAAAAATATGATGAATAGGGTTGAGCCCATACACCCTGAGCATTTGTTCAGCTTTCATTGCATTCATGATATCAGTACTGCACCCCGGTGTCCCCACAACACAGGGCAGAAACTAGTGTCAACAAAGTCAAAAGGGGAACAAAATCCCACAATTTCTGGGTCTTTTATGCCAATGCCACCTGGTAGCATATTTTTGTTCTCCTTTGTTCTAGTGAAAGATCTGCTCATGTGTACACGGGTGCAGGATTATTCCATTCTGATCCATACACTCTGTGGGCAAGTGTTGTTTGATGATGTCTTCTTCTCGGCATGCTTCCACACACCACATATGGGTAGAGGAAGGAAGAGAGGCGGAAATGAAGTAGGTGGGAGTGATGCATTAGGGAGCGTCTCAGACAGTATTGGGACAACTCAGTTTATCCCAGTACACCTGGAAACAAATACCCCCCAATGCATGGATGGTGAACACTGGTGTGATCTATTCAAACCTGCAACAAAAAATACTGGAACAATCCAGAATAACAGGAGTCACCACCACTGTGCGGACACGTCTTTGTTTCAAAATGCAATTACAGTTTACAAAAGAGCCTTTGCTTACCCAAGTGTCCTCCTTTTGAAGAATTATTTAGTACTTCATCAACATCAAAGATAGTACAGGGTGACACCGTTGGGGCTGAAGAAGGGGTGTTCAATTTATCATCTACTTTACTCCTGAAGCTGCTGAACAGGTTCCACACATTGTTCCTTTGTACACAACTTTCTGAAGTGGCACTGGCAGTTTTATCCCTGTACTGTAAAGAAGACTGCATTGTGTTTTTCTGATGATGTGCATGCCAGTCATCTTTGGCAGACCTCCACAGGTTCTCTTTCAGGGTAAACTTTTCTAGAAGTGTTGGCACGTCTTCCACATCGGTAGAAGCATGTTTAGACTTATGGGGATGCTTGGAAAGGCTGTTATGCACACTGTAAACAGGAAAGGCATCCCATGAACATTCCTCTTTTGGATTACTGGCAAAATCAGATGTATCTGAACTTCTGATTCCATGTCTTTTTCCTGAATGCCTCAAAATATGAAGTTCTTGAGTTTGCACATCACAGTCTGCACTATTTTTGCTGTTTTTTACACTTACAGAGTCAGTTGGGCTAGGAGGGAATTTGAAGAATGTGTTTTCCGAATGAATTTTGGCATGTGTATCAGGGCTCTTTTTTAGATTTTCAGGAGAAGACATAAAAGGTTCCAAGATAGATTTCTTTATAGCATTAGCAATTAGCCTCAATGGTGATTTGGGCTGGGTGGTCGCAGATTCTTTGGAAGAGTTATCAACATTCTTTGGATGTTTGTGTTCAGGAAATAAAATTGGCCAATGTTTATCTGAGACTGTAAGAGATGAATCACTGCTCGACTGCTTTGGTATGTTCTCATAGCTATAAAAATAAGCATTCTTTTGCCCTGGAATGACTTCTTCACCTTGCTCTCCTAGGCTTGTCTCTTCTGGTTCAGCACCATTTATAGCAAGTAGTTTGGGTTGCTGCCCCATTGAAAGAGTTAATTTCCTCATTATCTTGTTTTTAGCTTTGTTTAAATGTCTGTCCTGCTGTTCCCTGGCAGGCGGTGAAGCAGTCCGATCTCCCACATCAAGGTTTACAGAGGATGTATCTGGATCCTTTGGAAAGAGTTCTGGGGCCAGTTGCTCTCTGTTCACTACCTGGTTTCCTAAATACTGGCCTTCTTCAGTGCTACAGGCTTTGACTCCAAGCTGAGGAGGACAACGTGGAGCTGATGTCTGATCGTGGTGGCAAAAAGATTTGCTATGTGTAAACAGATTGCTGTCATTGTGAAGTGAATAATGAGGAATATAGGCAGGGATTTCTCCAGATATATCTGCGGCTTTCCTTTTCGTATGAAATGTTGAGCGGTGGGCCTCAAAACGCCCGCCTGTAATTTCTGGGATCTCATTGGGAGAAGTCAACTGTAAGGAATGCACAAAATAATTATTTTTAGAGGAGAAATGTAGCTGTTTTTCACCCATGTTCTTATTTAAAGATCATTTCCAAACAAATACATAAGATGAAACACCATCCATGTGTTAGTATCAAGATGGAGATGGACTCTGAAAAACATTCCAGCAAGTATGAACCAGTAAAGTAACACCGGATTATTGTTTTTTTCCAAAATACCCCAGGAGGCATCCAAGATATTTTGATAATCAAATGTACATGGGAGTTCTCTTGAGAATGAATTAACATGGGGTCTAAGAGACACATGGCTAGATGACGTGAAAAGGCATTCCATGGTAAAATAATTGGACAATGGAGTTCTAGTGTCATGGCATGGGGCAGAAAATGCTGAAATTATAACTTTCACCCAACTTTGAGAAGGACCAAAATATCTTTTCCCTTTCTGATTTCTAGAGAAGTGGGTGGTCCCAAGAAGTAAAGGACCTGCATTGAAGGGCAGAAGAATGGAATCCAGGCTTAAAGAGCTCCTCAGAAGGATTCCTGATTTACCTACAGGGCCACTCAAATACAATTCTATCAGGAAGGGAAGTGCATGGAGCCTGGCCATCTGGATGTGGGGATCCTCACCAACCTGGAGGTGCATGCACAGAAGCCTGCTCTGGCAGACATTTGCTCCCTAGCTCTGCTGAGCAAGTCTGTATTTTGGAATCTGGAATCTATATCCAAATAAGAGGACGTGCAGAAGTCGCCAGGCCAAAGTCAGTGTTCCTTGAAACATGATGCTAAGTCTACTCTGGTCCTGATAATATCTGACTGCAGGACATGATGTCATTACATCTAGCATTATATCCTTGTCCCATGCCTTGGAAAAATAATACCTTCTGGATTACAACTAGAGATGTGCATATATGTGTTCTTGGACTACAGTTCCCTGAATTCTCCAGCAACTTAACTGGGAGTTGTATTCCAAAAACAAACTGATACTGGCCAAGATAATTCATGACAAAATTAACTAGTTAGTGGTACAGGTGAAAACACATAATGTTGGGGGCTTAAATCCAACTGTTTAGTCCCATGTAGGTGACAACCATTGAATGAATGGGGCTTGTTAGTTCAACACTTCAAGTTGATCATTTTGATTTAGTGGGTTGGGACTAGATTTAGCCTTATCATATTAAAATACAGTTAGGCAAGCTATGGAACTGAAACACAATAAAATTAAAAGCATATCACTAAAGAAGAGCGCTGGATCTGCCATTAAATGGTTTTTCCTCAGCAACCAGCCATGTGTCAAAAAACCCACTTGAATCACAATATATCTGCCTGCCTTCAGAAGGCCAGTATGTTAAGCCTCTCTTCAAAGGGACATTCATAGCCTGGGAATGTGTCTCTTCCCCCCCCCCCAATGTTCCTATCATCTTTGTTTTCTAGGTTATTCTGAAATCAAAGACTTCTATTAATATGACTTCCACAGAATTCCACCACTGGGAAGTGGAACAAAGTGAAGTGGACATATGAAGGAGTCCAGAACATTTTGTGGGGCCCCTGATACTCTTCCATCATGACAGATTCTCATCATAGAATTATACGAATGGACAGTCCTCAGACTGAGGAATAGAACCTACAAGGCGGAAAATATAGTTCCAGTTATTATAAATAGATTGTCTGGTTAAAAAAAAACACCACAATATGTCAAAACAAATGAAGTGTAATTCTCAGCAACCTTTGCTCCTCCCTACCTCTTTCTCTAAGAGATCATCCACAGCAGCATCACTGTGAAGGTTGGCAGAGGCGTCCCTCAAAGATGGGCCATGCTTCTTGCTGTACAATAGAGGGAAATCTACAAAATGAAAAAAATGTCTACTCAAACAGTATGTTATAAAATCTCATTGATTTCCCCACCACCACCACCACCAACCCACAGATCTGAGAATACTGGCTGCACTGCCTGTAGAGGCTAGATACAGCCCCTGTCTTGTGCAATGAATATTAGTCTACATTACTTCTATTACTATTTATAATCCCGATTTATTCCAGAGAGCTTGAGGAGATGTTAATCACTTTCTTCCTTCCCACTATATCCTCACACCAATCCCCTAGGATCAGGCTGAAAGCCTAAATCCATTTCAGTGAATTTTCATGACTCAAAGAGGAGTAGAATATGGACCGTCCAAAACTCAATCCAGTGGCATACACCATATCATTGGAAACTTGCAGGATATTGTTTTCCCATACTCCATTGGGGGGTAAGCTGGGCTTTTAAAAATTCTAAAATGGATGCTGCCTTTGCAAGTTGGCCATCACGTTTTGCTTCCCCAACTGCTAACCCAACTGGGTTTAGTCTCAGCCCCCTTGCCCCAGTAATGCTAATAGAGTTTCCTGAGAATTCACCAACAGCCACCCTCTAAGAATTTTTACTGACTTTTCTTACACCTTAACAGCAGAGCAGCAGAATTTCGATGGTCCTGTTACATTCTCTCCCCCCCCTCCCCAATTTAGTCTGCCACACAATGGAATTCCAGTTTTTGTCACTGACTGAATGGCTGTGCTCTGCTCCTGGTAGGTCCAATTAAGCTCAGCAGGGGACAAGAGCAGCAGCTGTCAAAGACATTTTAAACAAGAACTCAAATGCAATAGAAGAAATGTATCTGTTCCCTGCAACACAAGAGGCTGTGTTTCCCCCTCTGATATGGACTGGAAGATCACATAACTTGATATTGAATATGTGTGTGTATATATATGCCAGGAAATATTTCTATAGCTTTCGATAAAATCAACACTTTGATCAATAGATGTGTTATTGCAAGCCAAAGGTCCCGAAAAGCGGGCACAATTACTTTGGCTGATAACTGCATTGTTAATAAACAGGTTATGGCCTGGATCCTGCAAATTGTCCTGCTCATATAATTCCTTATCACCTTCATTTTCTTGTGATGGGAAAAGTCTAGGAGCATAACAGTGTGCTCTTTCATCCAAGTCAAGGTACACAGTATTTAAAAAGCAATGGGTTGCACATGTTGCCATGGGCTCCCTGTGCACCCCTTTAAGCCCCCTCTGATCTGCCACACACACACACACCCATAAACACCAAAAGGAATTTTTGGTCATCAAAATGCACATTCTTCTTCCAGAAGCTGCCCATTCTGGCATACTTTGGAGAGTATCTGGTCGGAGTCTATTGTTGTAGGCCTGAAGGAAGCTTCTTTTAAAAAGCCTGAACTGACCTTGAATAACAACCTAAAAGAAGCCAGGGAAAAGAATGTACCACAGTGGGCCCCAAAGGCTTCTGGAAGTAAACTGGCCTTTTTTTATATATAGCCTTGATGGGTGTCATGGCAGAGCTTCCCTGGAAATGGTGAAAACATGGACTTCTGCATGATCTTCCAGGTCCTGCGTGGCGGTGGTGGTGATGTTCTCTTCACCCCGCCAGTTGGCTGCCTCTGACTTAAAACCATCCAACATCAAAAAATCTCAAAATCTGTTGGCTGAGATATCTTGCCTAATGCTGAATGGGAATAACTATTTCCATGTTACTTATAACAGATCACCTTTCATAGTGATTTGTAGTTTTAAATAAGCAAAGCAAAAAAGCAAAATGTGCTGCTTATACAGTATACTGCCCCATAGCACTTCAAGAACTCTCTGGGCGGTTTACAAGTTAATTACACGGGCTATGCATTGCCCCCAAAGCAAGCTGGGTCCTCATTTTACCGACCTTGGAAGGAGAGAAGGCTGAGTCAACCCTGAGCCAGCTTACCTGGGATTGAACCCCGGGTCGTGAGCACAGCTTGGCTGCAGTACAGCGGTTTAATCACTGTGCCACGAGGCTCTTAAGAAGGAAACCCACCCGCCCCCATGTGAAAACAAGTTACATAAATGAATTGTATTGCAAAGAGGTATTTTGTCTGTCCCAGATCTGCACCCAGTTCATTGGATTACGCTGAGCTCTAGCACTGAGAGAGAAAAAAAAAATTTTGTATCTCCACATGCCTCAAAATCTCTAAATGATTATTAGATCTCGTTTCTCCTGTCTATTTTTCCTCAAACATTTTTTCTCATTCTATATGCTTTTAAAAAAATATCCTGGAAAAGGGTGACTTGTTCAGGTTATCTCATTAGGTACTCCAGCAACAGTAACAGCATGAGATTCTTTTCACCTGCATTTCTTCTTTGCCACCCAGATGAATGCTAAAATTCAGAAGCATGAATGTCAGGAGTCTTCCAGCATGAATGTCAGGAGTCTTCCAGCATGAATCCTGCATTAAGAGGAGCTTGTATTTCACAGGGGGTGAATCAATTCATTTGAGAGGAACACCTAGACCTTTGAAAATGTGCTTCACTACAAAGCAAGAGAAACCCTGTTTGTTTGATTGACTGACAGAACAGCCAATTTGAATATTAGGTGAGTATACTCAATACAGGTACTGGGGGAGAGATCACAGTTGCCCACAGTCCTGTGGGGAAAATGGATTTGATAGTAAGAATGCCCTAGGAGAGGAAGTAACCATTTTACTGTGAAATGTGCTTTTTAAAGCAAAGTCTATATTCAGCTCAAGTTAATTTTCCCTCCCTTGACAAGTGATAGTGTTACAAATTCTATTTGTTACCAAGAGACACTGAGTTTTAGACAGATATTAAAACCCCAGGTTGCTTTCTGTAAGAGAAGAGATCATAATATAGCAGCTGTTGGGACCCTTCCAGAGTGCATTAGAATTACTTTTTACCTGGTAAATTGACTGTGGTATTCTTAAAATTCACTACCTCCTTCCAATAGTCTTTTAGCTCCCTCTGGAGATACTTCTTGAAGCACACACGGGCTATTTTTATCAAGTAACAGAAAAATTTAATAGGTGGAACATTAAAACAAACATTTAATTATGAAGAGCAAGCTTAATATTAAGCTGATGGTAGTCTGCCATCTGCCCATCTCTTTCTTTAAAAGGGGAGAAGATTGTGTTTTTCTTGGCCTTCTAGGTCACAGACTAAAAGTGTAGCTAGTTCAGAAAACCATGGTTTTATGCGCTTCAGCCAAAGAACCAGAGGCGAATCAGTTTGGGGTGGGGGTGGGGAGCACACCTCTGTTTGTAGAGGCTGCAATAATGAGCTAACTGGTGAAAGACAATTATAGGAGATAAATTGTAGCTATTCCTATACAAATATCCTGCTCAAGAGCTTATTTCAACATTGCACAAAACACTACCAACAGTATGAGAACAGAAACAAAGAAGACAGCAGCTTCATAGTTAGAAGGTCATGAAACACTATCACTCCAATGATGCATTCGTCAAAGCTGCTGTGGCTGCACAATCAGTATGTAATAAAGTTCCATTATTTACCTCCAAGTGACCAATCATCAAACAAAACCACTTCCAGCGTCTATGCACAAGTAGATTCAAGAACTCTCTCAGCTACAGAGCTCTGTTTCCCTCTCTTATGGCTTTCTCGCAGTCAATCCAATTTTTCATCAAAATAAATTAAGCTAGAACTCCGATAGGCCCATTTGTGTGCAACCAGCACTTTGCCTGTCAGCTAACCTGAAGTGAATAGTAATAGCTGGAAGAGTACCTCAAAGGGATATTTTAAAAAAAAATTCAAAGTCTTACTTGACTGGATTTTCTTTTTCCAGTGTTGGTATTTTCTCGATGTAGAAGTGTCTCGAAGACTGTAAGCTCGTTGGAGAGCTAAAGAAAAAGACAGAAAAGAGTACTGTAAAATCACAGTTCACATACACAAAAAACCTCTTTTTATTAAGACCAGCCTGTTTTGCTTAGATACACCTTTTTTTGAAAAATAAAACTGTTCTAGTCCTTGACCTCAGAAGAGAAATTTCAGAAGCTGCCCCTCTTTGCAGCCCAGCTCCAATGCTTAGGAAACCCACCTTCAAGGCTTCTGTGACAAGGTGGCCAGAGCAAATCTGTTCCCCTATCTTCCCTCTATGGCAGGAGAGATGACGCAGACAGTGTTACAACTTGGGGGGGGGGGAGAGAGAGAGGCAGGACCCACTCCTTTTCTGCACCTGTGCTGCTAACCACAAAGCTGGATTGCCTTGAATAGACTCTTCCGTTGTCATTGTTCACACACAAGCAGTAGGCCGGAGACAAGAGGAAGATCAATATAGCACACAGTTACATGTCAGTTCCTCTGCCCTGTCTCCATGCTGTGGCACCCTAGAATTTGTAGTTTATTTCGAATTCTCTGCAAGAGTGTTTGGACACACTATCCTGAACTACAGCCGATGAGCTTTTTTAACAGGACATTCAAAGCTCCTCATCAAAGTACACATCTAAGGATTCCTTTGGATGGAGCCATAAGTGATATCGAACTGCGTAGGGTAGATATATTCTTAATGCCAGCTTTGAGAATCCTTTAATTGAAAGTAGTATAGTATTTGCCATTTATCTTTTGTGACACTTTGTTCCACAGGGAGTACTGTAATTTCAGGCAGATGAAGTTTTAAATATTCATTAACCACTAGGGGGCAACATTTGCCAAGCTGTATTCCTCCAGAAGGAGATGTTCTAATTTCTCATCACAATTTTAAATTAGTAATTTTTGAGCACTCATACATCGTAAGAGCTCATTTGTGCACTGCCATTTCTAAAGCTTTTATTGATTCTCTGGCATGTGGGCTTTCACTTACAAAATAATAATTTTAAAAAAAATAAGGGGAAAATGTAACCCTTGCTTTTTTTTCATGATGAAAGATACCACCCTGACCATTCCCATGGGAAGACGGAGAACACAACAAACATAACTCATTACTTCAGGGAAAAAGCTGGTCCCATTGCTCAGCGCAGCAATGAGAACATGAAACATTTTGCAACGTGAGAGTTAATCAGAGGCACAAGACAGCTCCAGAGAGCAAGCAAGGGCAAGGAAGGGAAAAGGGTGTGACATAACATGTGACCCTGGAGAAGACAAATGAAGAGGCTGGAGACTTCTGTGTGTGTGTGTGCATGTGTGTGTGCGTGTGTGTGTGTGTGTGTGGTGAGAACATTCTAGCCGCCTAGAGTGGTCATATAGACCAGATGGGCGGGATATAAATCCAATAAACAAACAAACAAACAAACAAACATTTGGAACAGAGTTGGAGCTTGGAAAAATATTAAGCTTCCACTGAAGAAAATGGCATGGGGTTAACTCTATTTTTGGACAAATCTATCACTGTTGTTTCACATGGGTGCTTTTTGCTGGGCACCTCTTCAGTTTCTTATTTTGTTTCAAAAGTCAATCTTTAATAAAAGAATAACTCAATTCATACAAGGTTCCTTGCCTAAGGAGTTTGGCTTACAATACAGCCTTTTTATCAAGTTTATTGTTCTACAAGTGTATCTTTGAAATGCCTTATCAGAGGGGGGGGAACCACTGAGCGAGCAGACACATGACGTTCCTCTGAACTGCTTCAGATCAAAGGTAATAGTATCTAGAAACCTGTGGATGCAGAGCAAAGAGGGGTCAAGCTGAGAAACCAAGGCGTTTGGAAAGAAAACAAGGCTCTGTTATGGTAAAGAAGAATGACATCTCTTCAAAATTCTGTCAATATTATTTCGTTTAATACCACAATTATAATTCTCAATTTCAATAACATATGGTTCTGTGGAGTTATATTCACTTGTTAAACTGCAGTGTATAGTGTTATTACTTTCCCCTTCTCCCACAGGATGTTTGAGGATTTTGTCCCACCTCAGTTTTTATCAGAATACACAAATGCTCACACAAATGTCTTTACATTTGAAAAGGTAGCCGTGTTAGTCTGTGCCAGCAGAAGAAAAATTAAAAAATAAAGAAAATAAAGACGACAAAAGTGTTGTGGCACCTTAAATCCTGACTGCTGTATTTTAATATGAGATTTTGTGGAAAGGTCTATTCCCTCACACATATAGTATATTTGAAGATACCTATGGAAAGAAACCAAGTTTTGGAAACTGTATGTGGGGAAAACAAAAGGTAACACATGCGTTCATCTAGTTCCAGGGTGTTGAGTGGACAGCTATTTAAAAATTCTTGGCCTAAAACCCTTTTTAATCAGTCATTATATCACAAAATTTGTGCCCTAACCCAAGAGGCTCATCTTTTATACTGATACAGCAAGCAGGCAACACATGCACCCCCCTCTAGCTAGGAACAGTTTTACCTTTTGAATTTGGCTGGTACAAATGAGAGAGAAATTGGTTCCAATTTCTTTTAGATGAATTAATGAATTTTCCATCGTGCATTTTATCAATATTTCCAAATTTCCTTTTATTCGATAGGGCAGGGTAGGGGCATCCAGATATGATATTAGGGAACCTACCACTTACTCCCTGGGAAACAAGCATGTGGGCAGGGACTCTAGTGAGCAACAGAACTGCTGGATAGTTCAGTGCATTAGATATCCAGCTGCAGAGCCAGAGTGTGGGAGTTTGATTCCCCACTGGGCCTCCTTGGCAGGAGCTGGACTCGATGATCCTGTCCATCTCTATCGTTCTAAGATGATGATGATGGTGTGGATTTCAGTACTGCAGGGTTATGACAAGGGCCAATGATATCCATTGGAGCTTAGCAAAGGGGCTTTTGCTTTGTACTGGGCCAGAGCAAATGTTCTTCTGAACACCTCCTTCCTTGGAGGATGGGTGAAAAAAACTTGAGCTGTGAAAAATGCAAATGTCTACTTTGACTGCCATTGTTTTAACTGTTGTGATGTCACAAAACAAGTAGGGTAAACAAAACATCTGAATGCTACAAGGGAATTTGGGGGAACTTAAAACCCCAAAGTTCACATAAATTGTTTTGAAATTAAGCCATATGGTCAGACTCTGCTACCAATAACTGATAAAAGACACTCTGTTTGTAGAGATTGGTTGGATTTCTGTGTGTGTGTATGTGTGCGTGCATGCACGTGTGTAGACACTTGGGGTAAAAAAAAAACACGTAAACTCACTTACCATGCATGGCTTTGGACTCTTTCTCTCTCTTTATCAAACTTGTGTTTAGCAACAGAGGTGCTCGTGAAGACATGGCGGAGCTCCTGGCCTGAGGCAATGGCCTTTCATTCAGTTCAGAAATGGTTGGATCGCCATTTAAATCAGGTTCTAATTCTGAGCTAAGAAGAGATGAAAAAAGGGAGACCTGCCATTAGGGTTAAGTATGGCCAGCAAATGGTACAAAGCAGCTAATCAATGTTTCACAGCTCTATTGGTTACAGCTCATATGCATCAATGAAAGTGCCAGTGGTTGCAACTTAAATGTTCCCAGTGACAAAATAACACTGATTGAAAAGCCATGCCACTTAATCCTTTTTTAGGAATCTGGAGTTGTGTGCCTTTTAAAGAGAAGTCAAATTCATGCCATGCGCATTCACCTTGATATAACACAAGGCAGAGCTTAAAACCAGCCAGTGACAAGTAATATGGTTATATGTAACCAGTCACCTTTGGGAAACCAGCACTGTAAGTAGTTCCTGACAGTTGTTTTTAGGCACAATGAGCAGCACCTAAATTCCTTTGATTTTTGCCTTTTGTGTTCATTTCTAAAGTGCAATATAAAAATTGGCCACTAGAGAGATCCAGAGAGTATTTCATGGCCTTTTAACTCAGTGAATCATCTGGAACATGGAAACAACCACACAATGACAACCAGAATGTCAAAGTAATGAGAAATGCAACAAGTTCTTTTTAAAATGTGATTATCCTAGCTCTGGCCCCAGGATTTTTTTTTTTAAATTATCAGAACTGGAATCTTTTTCCAGTTCCAGTCTATTACCTCCTTAGATATATAACAAGGCAAGACAGATACGTCACATCACTTTCCTATCTGAGGTCAGTAACAGAATCAACAGATTTGCCAACCACTTTTGCGAATATCGAGTTATTCATCTTCTCATTTCTATTCTGGCAACCCCATTTACTCTTTCCTTTCTACAACACTAGTTCATTTCTTTCATTTCTCTCTCTCTCTCTCTCTCTCATTCTCTCTCTTTTGTTTCTCATGTTTGCCTCCTTTAATGACAATGGACAACCAACCTCTCCTGTAAATTTGGAGAATTCCATTTCATTTGCCATTCTCAGAATCCTCTAAAATATCAAACCTGCTGTGCTTCAGACAGAATAGACAAAAGACCATTGTTTCATAAGCAATTAAATACAGGGCAACATCCCCACTAAGCCAGGGATGACATGAAGGTAGATCTTTGGCTGACTTGCAGGTCAGCATAAATTTCTGAAGGGCAGCTATTTAACTGTAGCATTAATTAGATGATCTCGTCTAGCTCCAAGGACCACTGTTGGAATGGAGAAAGCTCAGAGTAACCAGGAGAGGGTTATTGGGCAGGAGGATTGGGAGCCTAGCTCAGTTCTAGTGCCCAGCACAAATCCCAGAGTTCTTTAATTTGACCTGGAATCAAGGTTGCATCTGCATAAGCAGAAGTGGCCAATCATGCAAGCAATGTCTCCTGCGTAGCCATCTGCCCATCCATCATGCTCCCCTGCATCCTCAGGCTCCTACTTGGTGGCAGGAAAGACAGCAAGCAAGGGGAGAAACAAGCTCAGGGGATTGCCCTTATATGCATGGTTTTCCTAAACAGAATGTGGACCTAAGTGTTTTGTTTCTTACTCCGAAGTGCCAGCTGGTGGACCTTGGATTTTTATAGTTGTTTTTTTTAAAGGGCAGGTGTTGCAAGTATGGCATCTGTTCACACTTGTTCTCTCCTTCCTCTTGTTGTCAGTTCCAAGTGAGACAATTACTGGTTTCTCTCCCTTGTAAGGCGCTCCCGGATTATTGCTCTCCTGAATAGGCCCCGTATTAGGGCTTGGATCTACTCACAGCGAGAACCCCTGTTGAATCGGGTTCTGCTTTTTAAAAAAACCTCTCTGGTCATTTTCAGTCTTTGTGTTTCCCTCCTTGGCAAGCAACCTTTCTGGTCAGCTTCAGCCCCTGCCTCCCTGTTTACTCCGGCTGTGTGTGTGCAAACTGTGGTTCAAACACCACATGATGTCACATGACTCAGAGTCGATTTAAATTTACCCCAACACATATTCCAGACTATTGCTGTCATGTAAACAGGCCCTTTGTCTGCAACCATAAGCAGCACAGCTGTTGCTTTGTCCATTTGAGAACTGCCTTCTGTGAGAAAGAAATGAGAGAAAGGAAGTGAATCAATCTGCTTCTTCAATTTATCTCTATGTTTTAGCTGTTTCTCACAAATTAAAAACTAACAGCTTAGACGTGTTTCATTTTGGAAGAGAGGCTGGATTCCATTTTGGGAACAGGCACACTCTCCTAACTGCTTCTGCCATCACATATCCTTTCATTCCCTACTTTGATACTGAATGTAATATGGAGACTGAAACTTCATGGAGCTCATCTGCCTTCCTTAAACCACGTGTATAAGTTTCAGATAGTTGACCTTGAGGGCAATACATGGGATAATATTCTGAAAACCCCTTAGCTCTGTTTGCCCTTTATATTTTGCACACTATAATCTATGCACAATCCTTACTTTAAGCAGAACTCTTCTGCTTTTCCCCTTTTGAGTTGTGTTGTGTTAAGGATGTTTCTTCATACTGCAGAACTGCAGCTAAATTGCTGGGAGGAAACAAGCAAACCTCAAAGGGGGTGGAGGCTTGTACGGATGTCTCATGGTGATGATTACTGACCTATAATGTGCTTTTATTGTGCTATATGCTCCATTAGCCCCTCAAATATTGTGTGTCTGTGTGTCTGTGTGTGTGTGTGTGTGTGTGTGTGTGTGTGTGCATATATGCTTTTAATCCATCAGTCTTGATTCAATTACCTCCTCCTTCATGTGACTCAGAACATGGTGTGGGATTGTAAAGATTTCCTGTGGATGAATCATATGCCTGTAAGAGGTTCACAACAACTCTAAAAATTAATGCCCCTGGTTCATTCTTTCTTCTTCTGTATTATCTTTTGGGTTTATTTTAATAAATGAGTTTCATGGTGCCTGGATTTTCCTTAAAGTTGCTTCCTCTTCCTTCTGGGAAATAGGCTGCTTTCAGTTACCAAACAAAGAGACCACCACGCACCTGCTCCCATCACTGGTGACCATCACCCGAACAGCCAGAAGGTTGTGTTCAGTCATCTCTTCCTCTGGGATAACTTTTACTGATGCCCACTCAGAAGACACAGAGGAACATCTGCTTTTAAAGCTCAGGTCAGGGACGTTCCTGAGCTTCTTTGGGAAAGCAGGCCCATCAGTTGGACAGGTGCAGCAATCTAGAAACAAAAAATAAAAGATATGAGAATCTGCCTTGTTGTATCATAAGTTAGAGAGACATCCCATCTTTTTTTTAAAAGGATGCCTCAGTAGTAATAACAGTGGAAAATGTCAACATTGCCTCTTCATTGCTGAAAAAGTGTTCTAGCATTGCTACAGTATCTCTCAAGTAAAAGTTAAATTAGAAACAACATCTCATGTCCAGGCTTAGTTTCAAAATGTGCTCTCTCTCAACAGTTGAAATCACTTAGGAGAAAATATATTTGTTTTATGGATGGCTCACACTCATACATTCCATTCTCTATTCAAGCATAGCTTTGAGGACATTCTGTGTGCGTTGCATGGGACACTTCCCGGATGCCTCAACTTGCCCAAGATGGTGATGGCTGCAATACACAATGTCTTGTTTGTTCACAGAGCCAGCCATCAGATGATATCCCAGAATAAACTCACCCAATGGGTTTATGTACAGAAAGACATTATTCAATTAGATAGTTTGCATTTGCATGTGTTTCATCCTACAGAACCCAGTGGGACTAAAGGCCTCTAATGCAAGAATTTTGACTGATATGGATCACACATAATTTCAATGTCTTACTTCTTCAAAAGACCCTTTCAAGCTTGTGTTTTTAATCACATAAAGCCAGAGATCACATGGATAAAGTCTTCATGGAACTGTGTGCTTTCTTTTACATGTGATACTATGTTGTTCTTCTTGTTACTCAAAGAACTGTGGTACAGTATTTAAAAAATGACACCATGATGAATTAGCTTGAAAGTTTAAACACAAACATGTGGAAAATATTAGAAATAGTATTCTGTGGGTAATCATTTAAAGTGTTAATTCAGGATAACATTCTAACCCCCTACCCAGGTTTAATAATTGGACATATGCAGTCTGCATAAGGTACCTACAAGAAGTTAGTCTGACAAGAAACTGACATAAAACACTCCCTTCCCAAAAGAACATAAAAGTTCCCAGCATTCAATTTCTCCCAGACTGTGAAATATTGTAGATGCCTCTGGGAGCTCATAGGTAAGGTCTGAAAGTAGATAGTCACTTAACATGGAGATTCCATTTGATTATCACTGGCAGCTGACATTGGAATGTCTACTTTCCTGATTAAATGCCATCTAAATTGGCAACCAGTTTCACATAGTACCATTGGCTGTGTCAGAAGACCAAGCAGTCGTAAGATTGAATCCACGCGACGGAGTGAGCGCCCTCCCGATGCTTGTCCCAGCTCCCGCCAACCTAGCGGTTCGAAAGCATGCAAATGCAAGTAGATAAATAGGGACCACCTCGGTGGGAAGGTAACAGCATTCCGTGTCTAAGTCGCACTGGCCACATGACCACGGAAGATTGTCTTCAGACAAATGCTGGCTCTATGGCTTGGAAAGAGGGATGAGCACCGCCCCCTAGAGTCGAACACGACTGGACAAAAATTGTCAAGGGGAACCTTTACCTTTACCTAAACTGGCAACCAGTTTCACATAGTGTCTGGATGTACTATTCAACAAGGGTTTCACCCTATGGCTGAAATGCTGCTCCAAAGGTTCTGCTACATAAAGCAGATGATATTATCAGCTGCAGCAGTTTCCCAATACAGCACCCCCAAAGGTTCCCAGATTTTCTTATGATCTCTTTCATTGTGGAGAAGATATTGGAGGCCATGGCATGGCATGGAAGACTTTAATTTCCAAAAACCTCTGTTGGCAGTAAAATCTAAATAAAATCCCCCCTTCCTAATATTTTGTCCACAATGGAAGCATCAGGTCCTTCAGAGGGAAACTTTTTTTTATTTCTGAAAAAACACCATCGCTGATGACATCATCAGCCTTATGCAGCATAACAGCACAAACAGGATTTCAGCCTATGAGAACTAGAATGAGTAGGCCTTGAGCTCTGGCACTCCCCTTTCCTCTCTTCCTCCAGTGTGGCTGAGGAGATCAGAAGCTTCCACTTCCTTTAGATTATCTATAGCTGAACACCTTAAACTGTGATTATTCTTAGCTAAGTCTATTTCAAACAAACCAGCTTTATCAGCTCTGGATTAACAAATTGTTTCAAATACATATACTGTAGTTAAGATTCATGATAACTGAGCACAACAGCTCATAGTAACTGATTCTTAATGTCTAAACCAATCCATTCCTATAGTAAATGTCTTACACTTTTCATCCACTGGTATCATATAAACTGCACACCTGTTAACACAAAAAAGAAACGCCTGAAAAAGAAAAATCCTAAAGGCCAAAGGTGATAAATTTAATTTCTTTCCATGGAATTCTCCACATGCAATAAGGAACCAAAACAATGACCACCCAAAGTCAGTATTGTGCTATTTGCCTTCCTTCGGATAACATTCCTAGGATTTTTGCAAATAAACAGAAATGGAAGATTGTTTTAATCAGCCAAGGTCCGAGGCTCAACAAGAGAGACATTCTTCTCACCAGCAAACAAGTATCTCAAATACTCTTGCATAGCTTTCAGGCAGAGAGTTTTGTTAAGCATGGACTGAAGGACAAAACAGTACACAGTACAAGCGATCTGCAGAGATCTTTGTCGCTGTGACATCTTTTTTTCACCAAAATATAAAAGCAGCAAAAGGGAGGGTTCTAATTTGGACTGGGGAAACTCCACTAGGGGACGTTTTAAAACCCTTTATCCACCCTCCATTTCCCTGATTTAAAATGTTCTGCTCTCCCTGGATGGGCAGGTGGGTACTACACATTCCTTGTCTTTTACAGCTCATCCACATACCCTATTTGCTCCTGTTAAAGAGGTGGTACCATTACCCCACTGATCCTCTCCCCAGTCTACACAACATACATACTGGAGATTTAAACCCGTCAATCCCTTCTATTTCCTTTCTGCTTCTGGGTGATTTCCCCTCATGTGGGAACTGTGGAGCTTTTTATAGCTTGGTTCATTCTGGGACGACGTGTCGGTCTTTAGAAGGCAGAAGAGCCACCTTGTGGCAGAGCTGTGCAAAGACTGTGAAAGGCAACCTCGAAGGAGGGAAAGAGACCAGGGTGGAGACGGGGCATGAGAGGGAAGGAAGAGTTGGGGGGAGGGAAGAGATGGGGTATATTTCTAGTATAGAAACTGAAATCCTAATGGAAGCTTGGAATGAGAGATTCCGGATCTCATGTGAATGAGCCCGCAGTAGGTCTGATAGACTTGGGGATTTAGATTTGGGCTACTGCAGAGCAGATAAAATGCTAAAGCCATCTCTCCTGGCCATGATCCAAATCATCCTCCGCCCTATGACTGCATTTAAGACAACAGTGTTGGGAAATCCAGTCCGCATCATTGATTCTGTACATGTGCCAACAATGGAACCCAGAAGTGGGACCATGGTTACTATGAGAAAGTAATTTGTTCTCTTTCCATCTCTGTGGTTAATGGAGTGATCTTTCAGAGGTCACTAATTCATAGGGTCACCCTAGCCCAGAAGCAATTTGATGGCATATAAGTAAAATCTGCACATCATCTTGCCAGTGTGACATGTCACCTCCTGTTGTCCCTACCAGCCACAGATTAACCACTGATGGCCCTTAGCCGTGGTAGGCATAATCATTCTGGCCACTCAGCCACTCTTCACTTCCTGTTCTCTCTGCCCACCAATTTTCCCCCTTAATGATTAATGTAAAAACCCATAAAATATATCCCTTGTGTAGGGAGGTCCTTTGATGGAGACACAGAAAAGCTCTAAAGAGGCAATGAGGCCTTGAATTTTTATAGAGAAAAAACACACACCAAATTACCAGCATAAACAAGTTTCTGTGATATATACTGTATTCTTACTGAAATTTAGGATTTGTCAGGGGGGAAATGGTGCTTCTTTTCAGTTTAAAATCACTGTTATTTGCTAAAAGGGGATAGGGTGATGGTAAAGGAGAGGTCATAAGGCATGAGGGTTTCTCAGAAATCGACATGGAGTGGTGATGTCTTAATGTTTGAGAACTGTTTCTGTAAAGCATAGAAGTGTCCTTTCCAGGAAAAAAAAATCATTTCTGTTATTGTGGAACTCCAGTTTTCAAAGAGTGGTTATTGGGCCAGAAGGATTTTTTAAAAGGTGAGAAGCACAGACTTAACAGGTTTGTATGAATTACATACTGTTTTTACCATGGCTATATGGTTTTATTGTTTTCTTGATTTGTGATTTTACTTGGTCATTTTATTTTTCATTTGCAAGTTGTGCAAACTGAAAGATGGTCCAATGGATGAAACTTCTTTTTGAAACAAGGTCGTCAGAGGTGAAGTCAAGTCTGGGTAGAACAGGAGGGAATAATGATGTTGGCTTTTAAGAACAGGAGGAAGAAGAGCTGCAACATTTGTTATCCCAGGTAGGGGTAATGAACAAAAAAGAAACTACTTGGATCATATAAAAATATTTCTGACATACTTTTTTCCTGTTGCAATTTTCTTAAAACTCTGTTTTTCTTTAATAAGCTGCTTTGCTATATGTAAAAACAGGTCGTGAGGCTATACATGCTTCAGGAGACTGCCTAAACAGCATTTTTGTTGTTTAGTCATTAAGTCGTGTCTGACTCTTCATGACCAGAGCATGCAAGGCCCTCCTGTCTTCCACTGCCTCCCGGAGTTTGTTCAAATTAGCCCCAAATATTTTACTGCCTGAGGTAGAAGAGATGGTGCTTCCTCTCTCATCTCACCCCCGGCTTACATATGCAGAAGTGCCACCCATTTGTCGAAGATGGCTTGAACAATGCTTTGGCAAATGCTCAAATAGTAGGTGCTGTGATGGATTTGCAAATAGCAAGTAGAAATCCACTCGAAATGGCTGCTAAGCAGATGACAAGAGAATACACTCTCAGCACCACTCTTGTGTTTCTTGTGTGTCGTGGCTTCGTATTGGAACCTGAAGTGTCGATAACACGATTTGTAAATAAGGAGGAGAAAACCAGAGTTAAAAGGTGCAAAGCATGAAAGCGTCCCGCGTAAGGACTGAGACACAGGCGAT